ACATTGTTGACCAAGATGTAGCCGAATCAACAGTAATTAAATTGCAATAAGTACAAAATATCGTGAAATGTGCGCGCAAAGGTCCTCCGCAGCTAATAATTATTATATTGTTACCGTTCTTAAATCTTAATGTATTTTAAACCGTTGCTATGTAATTACTTGAAAAGGGTGCGGGGGGGGGGGCAATTGCAAGCATACAGTAGATAATTTTATTCTTATTGATAAAAAAATCTAAGGTTAAATTAAAGCACTTACATAAATGGAATGAAGAAAAAGAGAACAAGCCAAGTATTTGTTTCAAGGACGAATTAATTGTTAAACTTTCTGGGTAGATACCTGGTAGTCAATTTTTATTTGTTAAAATTCATCTATAAAAGTATCATTAATGGTTTGGTATATTTTCCCCAATACTTTTATCCTAACAGTAATAGAAGTTATAAGACTTTGGCTTTAATCTAGGAATTCACCCGCATGGTGCAGTGGTTAGAGCATCTGCTCTAGAGTTGCGAAGTAAGGAGTCGATCCTTACGTCGCGGGTTCGAATCCCTCTGTGGGATGTAGAGACCGGTCGGATAAGACCGTATAAACCGAGGTCCCGTGTCGCAGTAGGCACTGGCGCGAAAAAGATCCCTCACTGCTTAATGGCCCTAAGTGCTGAGTATAGAACAAAATGTGCAGCTCTCCACCGGCAAGTGGTGGCGTCTCCATATGCATGAAAAATTCTCGAGAGAGACGTTAAACAATATACAATAATAGTAGAAAGTTTCACGTCCATCTACTTTTCTTTTTTCATGATGGCTCTTATTAAGAAGTGACTTTGAAAGTGTTCCAGATTGTTCACATTCTAAAGCATGCTCATGGAAACGCCGTTATCACCCGTCCCCATAAAATGGAGCTTCAATAAGTGCCGATCAGGCATTTTACTGTTGCAAAAATGACCATATGATCTACAAGGAGAAGTTAAGTTTTTAAAAAGGGGTTTAAAATATTTTGTTAAAAAGTAACATTAAGAATTTTAGAAAAGAGCATTTAAGCATTCAATTCTGTCTAAACGATTCCATTTGAATTATTTCCATTACTATAAACATAATGCAGCTTTTGTACATGTATAGATGCATGGTGCAGTCTTTATAGAGAAATCAAAAGGTCAAAATCAATTGGCTTTTTTTATAAGGTTCGCTACTCTTTACAAAAGCAATAAGCAGTAAATCTGGAGAGCAAAAAAATTGTTTGAATCACACAGTTCAAATTTAAGTTCCGGAGATGCCTGAATGGAATTAAATAGTTGATTTTATAAACTTAGAGACCTTCAAATCAAATCCTGTTCATGTGATTCCATAAATTCCGTACTCTTTATTTCAAAATGATAAATTTTCTAGATTTTAATCAAAATATATTCTGTGATGATGCATGTTACAATTCTGATATACATTGTACTTGTCTGATAAGCTACGTCCTTGCAGAATTCTTTAGAAAAGGCTGTTTTGACTCATTTTGTATACAAACTGTGTTCCATACATTTTTTGATTCTTGTCTATAAATTCCAAAACTACTGAGGTATAAATGTCCATCAGGTGTTTACAAATAAAATGAAAGTAAACACTTTCACATTTAGGAATTTCACATACATGTATATTGTGAATACAAACAGCGTTCCATACATTTTGTTGACATGAATGGTAAATGCAACCATGTGTAGATGATATTTGGCCGGTGTGGAAGTCAAAACTTCACTTCTTTGAAAATCAAAATGTATAATTTTTTTGATTTAGTTTTGACTGCATATCAAACTATAGGTTAAAACAACAACTTTTAATGCTAATTGGCTATTGTTTACAGGCTGTCTGTCATAGAAAGCTCATATAGAAAAAGTACGGTGTGCAAATGGGTAATTCTAAATTCATATTGATCCCTAATTTTAATCTTTCAATTTCCCAACTTTCCCCTGAGTGAATTTTTCTAAACTTTTTATATGTGAGTTACTAATAGCTTATCTACAAATCTGCACTAAATTATGAACTGTTGCAATCAGTTCTCGTTTTTCAGTAGAATGACTAGACTATTGGGTAGCTGATTAAATTCATTCTTTAAGTAATTAAGTATGTAGAAATTGAATAAGTTGACAAACAATTCATGCTCAAGGTGATACAATGTAAATCCATAAATAACTGCATGCAGTATTTTTGTGTTACACCCGGTGATTTATCGGTGTTAAGTGAATTTATTTAGGCAGAATCAGATCATTTTGGACCAAAATGGTTTTTCGATCGGAAATGAGCCATGTTGTGATGTTGTAAAGATCGAGCCCCCTTTATCCCAGAGTAAATAGACATAACTCTGTCAAGGATAAACTACATGTATTGAAAAATACTTCACAACATACAGTAACTAGAAATACGTCCATAGGACATGAACGCCCCGCCGAGGATATATTAGTAAAGCAACATGAAAATTTGTATGTGTATAAAATTTGATCAGAATATCTTGAAAAGTGATGCAGCGGAATTGCTTGTTTGGAAAATATAGGTCAGATCCAGCATCCAAAGCAAGTCTGGTAGTGTCCATCCCTAGAAGCATCAGCCATGCAAGTTTGGTTTAGGTAGGGCTTATAGTTACTTGGGAATAAAAATATAAGTCAGATCCAGCATCCGAAGCAAGTCTGGTAGTGTCCATCCCTACAAGCATCATCCACGCAAGTTTGGTTCAAGCAGGGCTTATAGTTACTTGGGAATGAAAATATAGGTCAGATCCAGCATCCGAAGCAAGTCTGGTAGTGTCCATCCCCAGATGCATCACCCATGCAAGTTTGGTTCAGGTAGGACTTATAGTTACTTGGGAATGAAAATAAAGGTCAGATCCAGCATCCAAAGCAAGTCTGGTAGTGTCCATCCCTAGATGCAGCATCCTTGCAAGTTTGGTTCAGGTAGGGGTTATAGTTAATAGGGAATAAAAATGTAGGTTAGATCCAGCATCCGAAGCAAGTCTGGTAGTATCCATAACCCCAGATGCATCATCCATGCAAGTTTGGTTCAGGTACGGCTTATAGTTACTTGGGAATGAAAATATAGGTCAGATTCGGCATCCGAAGCAAGTCTGGTAGTGTCCATCCCCAGATGCATCATCAGTGCAAGTTTGGTTCAGGCAGGGCTTATAGTTACTTGGGAATGAAAATATAGGTCAGATCCAGCATCCGAAGCAAGTCTGGTGATGCATCATCCATGCAAGATTGGTTCAGGTAGGACTTATAGTTACTAGGGAATGAAAATATAGGTCAGATCCAGCATCCGAAGCAAGTCTGGTAGTGTCCATCTCTAGATGCATCATCCGTGCAAGTTTGTATCAACATGTGAAGTTTGATAACACCATCTTGAATGGTATGTTTAAAACTGAGCTAAACACTAATTTAAGTAAAGTGTGGTCAAGGTCAAAGGAAAGGTCAAGATAAAAAAAATGTTGATGCATTTGCATAGCTCTCATCAATATCTATCAGCATTTGATTAAAATATCTTGGATAGTTTCTTTGAAACTGAGCTTTGAACAGAGTTAAACGCAAAGAGTGACAGAAGGACGGACGGAAGGACAGCTAGACAGAAGGACGGAAGGACGGAAGACGGACATGACAAACACTATATGCCCCGGCCATATTCATGACGGGCATAATTAAAAACAAGAGGCCCATGGGCCACATCACTCACCTGAAAAAGGAAAAAGTAGAAATTGGTTTATTATTAAAAATTGAAATCCAGAAGTAGTCCCATGACCAATCATGGCTTTGCTAATCTTGAGAAGAAGATTTTTAAAGAATTTTCCTATATATTTCTACGTAAAAATTTGATCTGCCATTTTGCCCCCCTCCCCTACCTCCGGGGGGTCATAATTTGAACAAACTTGAATATACACTACCTGAGGATGCTTCCATATGAATATGATCAATTATGGCTTTGCTATTCTTGAGAATAAGATTTTTAAAGAATTTTCCTATACATTTCTATGAAAACTTTGGTCAGCCATTTTGGCCCCGCCCTACCCCCGGGGGTCATGATTTGAACAAATTTGAATCTACACTACCAGAGGATGCTTCCATATGAGTTTTAACTTTCCTGGACCAGTGATTTTTGAGAAGAAGAAGATTTTTAAAGACTTCCCCTATATATTCCTATGTTAAACTTTGACCCCCCATTGTGGCCCCAACCTACCCCTGGAGGCCATGATTGAACAAACTTGAATCTGCACTACCTGAGGATGCTTCTACATGAGGTTTCATCTTTCCTGGCCCAGTGGTTCTTGAGAAGAAGATTTTTAAAACATGCCATTTATTTTTCACTAATTCATAATTATCTCCCCTTGGAAGAGGGCATGGCCCTTCATTTGAACAAATTTGAATCCCTTTCACCCAAGGATAATTTCTGGCAAGTTTGGTTGAAATTGGCCAAGTGTTTCTTGAGAAGAAGGTGAAAATGTGAAAAGTTTATGAGGACAACGACAGACAACGGACAAATTTTGATCAGAAAAGCTCAATTGAGCCTTCGGCTCAGGTGAGCTAAAAACAATCAAGATTTGTTATTTTTCCGAAAGACTTCACTCAAGTCAGCCCGCGAATATTGAATGAAACATGCCAAGGGTCCAATGGCAATGTTTTGACTCAGGACCCCTGGCTTGCGAGGATGCTCGGTAATGTTTATATTACAATTTAGATTCACAAGGAAGATTCGTAATGCTTCTATTACAATTTGGATCCACAAGGAATAAAAAATTTACATTGCTATAACCCTGATTTTATTGTAAGCTTGTGCAGAAAAGAAGTGCAAGAGTACCATGAGTATCAGTTATTTATAAGTGAAAAAAAGTAAGAGCAAATTAAATGCAGTGCATGTAAATGTATGTGTCATTTCTGTTTACACTTATTACAAATGAAATTGATATTTTATTTACACATTTTATCAATATTTTGAAATTCAACACAATATAGTCTGTTCAATTAAAATTAGGTCAAAACTTACTCATTGTCTGTGCTTGAATTAGTGTTCTTTCTGGGTACTCTGTAAAGGGGAATAACTCAAAGAATAACGGACAAAAATAAAACATGTTGAAAGGAAAATAGATGAGGTGATACATCATGCCTGACAATAATACTTCAACTGAAAAGGTAAATTTGGCTGAGTGTGCTTAATAACTGAATGCTATAATAAGGTCATGTTTGAAACATCTGGTCCACCTCTACTCCTACCCCCCCCCCCCCCACCCCCCACTCCCCCCACCTTTCATCTAATCTGTTGAAATGCATTGCATCAACAAGCAAATTATTGTTGGTTTCAATTAAAACAAAATAAGATCATTAATTTTCACACATATGAACAGGATACTGTTTAATTGAATTAACAAAATGCAAAAATAAATTGTATATAAATATATATATTATCCATAAATAATAAGAGTTGCGTCAAGCGAAAAGGGACCTTCGTGACAAAATTTTCGAAAATCGTTTTTTCACCAATTCTGAAAGAGCTAGTTTTTCTGAATACTTTGATACCAAAATTTTTATTGTATACCTTCTAAATTCTAATTAAAACTCAAAATGAAAGCAATGCAATTTTAAAAAGATAACGCTATAAAATGTTAAATAACATCACAAAACGTTATTAATATTTGGAAAGTTATTGTTACTAAACAACCCTTTTGTATTAGATAGAAATTATTTTTTCTACATGTATTTAAGTTTTTCAATGTCTTTTCCTCCAAATTATAGCATTTATATGATCGTATACATTGTAAAATATCGATAAGGCTGTTGGAAAAAAACCGACAATTTTTTTTCTTTATGTATATGTTGGCCAATATTAAAATAATAAAGTATTAAAGTTGTACATTTTCAAAGGATATTTTCAACGACACCATTTCATCTTTTTTCTACAACATAAACATAAGCATGTTTAAATCTCTGAAAAAATGGTATTTGAAAGGATCTTTCACAAGGGGATAGACCGCTGACCATGTGTACAAAACCAAACAAGTTCCTACTCTGAAGTTATCTCGCAGGGCATTCATAACAACACGGATATTTTCCAAGGGAGAAATAACTTATGTTCACAGAAATGATCGAGTATTTACGATTGCTTGCAAGGGACTAAAATGAATAGATATGTCATGTACATTTAGTAAGGTCGTAAGAATAAGTCCCGGTCAAAGTATTGTTATGTCCCTTTTGCTATAATCAGCAAACTTACCTCCACAAAAACAAACCCTTACCCAGTACCTAAATGTACATGTATTTTTTTTTTTGGAAATGACTTAGTTGTACTTCCCTGAACAAATGTTTTTTAGGGGGGTGCAGCTTTTAGGCATCGTTCTTTTTTTTTTTTTTACTTTATCAATTATTTCACACTTTGTTCAAAATTGATGTCATTTTATTTTATTTCAATTGAAAATTAATATATTGAAATGTGGCATATTCCCAAATTCAAATTAGATTAAACGTGTTTGTTTTAACCCCCCACCCCCCTCTAACGATGCTACTTGCCTATACGACAGTAATTTAAGATGCTAAAATTAAATAAAATAGACCGGTACACACATTGTATCAATAATTATGACTTAACTATATATCATTGAAAGAAATAAAGTTTTTTGTACATTGGGGAAACGGGGGAGGGGGGTTAGGTCTTCTTCAAAAATGAGCCCGGCACTTAGTACTTGCCATGGAACAAAGACATTTTACTTCGCTTGCGATTGTTTAAATTTTGTTAAAACAAAATATCGTATGTTGTACAATTTAGAAAAGAGAAAATCTTGTATTTTATTCTCAAGTTAAAAATATAAAGGAATTGAATTTGTTCAGCACTAAAAAATACCGATAAAAATATCTAATTTATGTAGATATCTAGGCTTGATGCAAAACAATTAGTCGGACAACAATAAAAGTCAGACGTTAAATTCATACTTTCAGAGTATACTACAATCGTTAATATATAATCAATACATGTACATAAGCTTTTCTTCTGTGCCACCCATCCACGTGTCAGTACGTTGATTCATGCAATATTCTATTGACCAAGTCCGGATGACATTCTAACTGTACAATGTAAACATTTGATACACGGTTACATACATGTTCATGTAAATAATCAGTTTAATTCATATTCAGCTGTATCAAAGAGAACAAGAAAACATGTGTTTAAATGGTGTAAGATGCATGGGTCTCATCCCCTGAAAATCCAAATAATATAATCTACGTATACACGCTGGCATCGAAAAAAAATTTCTTTTTTATTCTCAGTATTAGATCATTATGCATAAGTTGTAATCGGCAGCTGACTCCGCATCACTCCATTCAAACAGGTATACGAGCCTTCCAACGAGCTCCGAGTGATACCCCCCTCCCCCCCCCAAAAAAAAAGAAAGCAAAAAAGAAAATTAAAGTCGAATTAATGATGATTAAAGGATGTTATTTACAAAAGGCAGTAATTTTTTTTTTCAAATCCAACTTTTTATTCTTATAGTCAGGTAGTAACAGGATCAAAATTTCTCTTATACATATTAGAAAAAAAATTTATATATTTTTAAAATCATATGCAATAAACAGACACATATAGAAAGAATCTTCATTTGTGGGAAAGGGCTTTATAAAAGTACGTTATTTTACAGTCTGAGATTAAAAAAAGGAGTCATCAGACAATATTATTAAGAGGTCACAGCATGCACAAGCGTAAAAAATCATTGATTTCAAAATCGCAGTGTAAACTGAGATAGGTCTATATGGCAACATTAACAAAGGGGTTGCACAGCTTCCAAATATGAAATTCTCATGATCTTCTGCAAACACAGCTACAGTGTATGAGAAAGAAAACCGAACTACATTATGTATAAAGATACTGTTTGAAAAACAGAATAATTCACCACCACTTGACATGATGTGAATTACAATACAATTAATGATGATCCGGCACTTAATTAATTGATCAAATATAGGAGCAATGTTTTTTAGGGGGGGGGGGGGGGTTGTACCATTGTATTTCCAAAGTGGCTGCGGTCAAACTAAAAAAGATATTAATAGTAAATTAATACGTAAAAACAAAAACGAACAAGCAAAATCGAAACAAAAAATAAATCAATTAAAAAGAAAAAAATGAAGGAAATCAAGAGAGAGAGTAACGAAAAAAAATCGGAATTAATCCTTGAAAAGCTTCCCTTTCCGTAGTAATATAAACCGAACATACACACATCCCAAAAGGTGCGTGTGTGTTTGTGTGTGTGTGTGTGGGGGGGGGGGGTCAAACCGTTTAATTTTACATTATTATGCAAGATTATAAGCACAAAATATCTTGAATTACTGTATTTGCCTTAAATAAACTTCAAATCAGAAAATAAAACTTATGTACATTAGTCTTAGCTTAAATCATCGCTCTTAATTTTCGACTTGAAGTTAACAAAATCAGCTTAACCCAAATTTAATATGTTTAGTTTTGATTTAATTCAATAAATTTCGGCAATGAATACAAGACCTCCAATTAGTTTTGAAAATGACCACTGTTGATTATCTTCACATTTTATTACATCAGTGTTCAAACCTCAGAGTGTTACGCCAAAGGTGATTGTGTTGATAGGAGATACAGAAGTCCGTATGGTTTTCGCCGCTTCATTCTTTATGACATTGCTACAGGCAGTTTCCTAGCAGCTGCATTCATGTTTTTTCCTACTATGTATTGACAAAATGCTATTGCAACTATGCTAGTAAATGTATCAGTTAACTTGATTCGATTACTTTTAATCTCTGATAACAAACTTTGGGTTTTGAGTCGCCAATTCTCGGGCCTATCTGACTAACGGAGAAACAACCCGGAATATGTAATATGTAACCCCCACCCCCACACCCGAAAAAAAAACAACAACATTGAAATAAATGCAGGAGATCACTTATCTGTAGAGTCTGGTGCTCAGCTGGAAAGGCCAAAGACGCGATTGTCTTCACAGATTACTGAGGTAAACACGTACATGGATTTGTTCATAAACATTTTTCACTTCTCTTGAATAAGGCTATTCATGAATTATCAAAAATTAAATTAGTTAATAAATTATTTTTGAAAAATTACCAGTAAATCTATATATTGACGACATGGAACAAAATTTTTTTTCAGACAGTTATAGGCGTGTCTTTTTTTAACATTAGTATTACGCAAATAAATTTATGTTTTGCTTTATCGTATGATTTTTTTTATCGGCAAAAGCACCGGCACGACGTCACGTCTTTGAAGCGCTATTGTGACGTAATTACGTTTATGTCACGAAGGTCCCTTTTCGCTTGACGCAACTCAAATATTAAGCTTTTGCAAACCTTATTTGAGAATACTTGTGCTAATGTAAGGGCTATACATTCATATTTCTACATAGACTGTGCATATTATTACATCAATAATACAGTATTAGCAATACTGCATGTGAGAAAACATGCATGCATGCACATGCTCTCTGTGCTTACTGTATTTAGATTTAAGTTTGATATTAATTTGCCACAACTGTCTCTTAACATATAGAGTATTTTGAATCTGCACTGCCTGAGGATGCTTTTATGTGAGTTTCATCTTTCCTGACCCAGTGGTTCTTGAGAAGAAGATTTTTAAAGATATCATTATTTTTTCACTACCGGTAATTCATAATTATTTCCCCTTGGGAGAGAGCATGACCCTTCATTTGAACAAACTTGAATCCCCTTCACCTAAGGATACTTTGTGGCAAGTTTGGTTGAAATTGGCCCAGTAGTTCTTGGGAAGAAGATAAAAATGTGAAAAGTTTACGACGACTACGTTACCACGAAGACAGACAAATTTTAATCAGAAAAGCCAACTTAAGCCTTCAACTCAGGTGAGCTAAAAATCATTCGAATGTCTTAACTTTTGAAAAATTTTACTAGACATGGTGCCGCATGGTGCATTTTCAAATCCACACACACCATGCTACACCCCATTTCACATGATGTTTTTTCAATCGTGTGACAGGGAAAACTTGTGGCCTGTACTGTACTTTGATTAATATCAAGACATCTAACTGTAAACAACCTTGTTAAATCTGGCAAAATGATAAGAAATTTATGAATTAAAGGATTCCAAAACAAAAATCCTGCTGATAGCTGTAACATCACAATCCATGATTATCTTACTTTGGCTTATAAGCTGTGAGCTCCTCCTCCACCTCTAAAAGCTTGGACTTGAGCTCGTTCCGCTCCATCAGAACGGTCTTCAGTTCCTTCATTGTAAACCTTGGCCGGTCAGGATCCTTCATGTCAATGACCATTTTACCAATCATGCTGAGCCTGTGCTCAATGTGGCCCATGTTTTCACCCTCCTCCTGTCTCGGATCCTCCCCCACAGGTGGGGCCCCAGGAGGAAACTGGGATTTTTCTGAAGAAATTGTGGCACTAACTTCGTTTGGAATGGGGGCTTCATCATCCTCCTTAAGAATATTAAAATAATCTTTGACAATTATACCTCAAATCAAGCAAAGGACATAATATCGAAAATACCACCACATACATGCATACAAAAATGAAATACTTAAGGAATGACTCTAACTCTTGGCCAAAATAATCGATGTAACCTGGTTTGGGTCAGTTACACTTTATAATCCGTGAAGGGGATTTGTTTTGATTTTTTATTAAGCTATGTGTGTGGATTCTAAAAATATACTTGACAAAAAATTTCAATACTGAATACAGGGAAATTTTCACTCCCATTTTATTTTCAACCCTTTCGCCCTTTTCATGATTGGGCAAATTTAAAACAGGACGAATTCAAAGAACACCGCAGATCTACAACTGGGCAAATTTAAAATGAGGCAAATTTATTTGTAAGTGTAAAAAGGGAAAAATAACCCTGTATACAGTACTTTTGATAACAGGAGCCAATCTCCTTAAACAATGTCATCATTTACTGTGTTTGACAACTGAATGAACATCAGAATTATTGCTTCCAGGCTATATCAGCAAAGATCATTCTAAATCTTCAAAAGGCCGTTAAGCAGCTAATCAAATCAAATAGATGAGCTCGAAAAATATTTATGTTTTATAACTCATGTCAAACTAAAACTCTTTCAATCTACCTTTTTACAGTTGAAAGAACTACGAACGATAGTATTGTATTCCCGCCTACCTCTAAGTCAATTCTCAAAAGTTAACATATTCGAAAGATTTTCAAAATTTTTATAGATATTTATATGAATTTTCATAAAACGTTACTTATTTAGGATACCAAAGAGAGATAACTCTATAATTTTGGTAAAACTTGTGTTTTTCACTATAGAAATCAACGGAAAACGGAAAATATTTTTAAAACATCTTCCCCCCCCCCCCCCCCCCCCCCCCCCCCCCCCCCCGTGAAACAAAAATTCCTTTTTACAGGTAATATGGACTGTCGTTTTACAAATTTATGCCAACGCTTTTTGTGTTTCACGGGGGGGGGGAACATAAGTTTATAGACAAAAAACGAAAAAAATGCTGATTTTTCACAAATTTTAAAGCTATTTACAGCTAAATAATTGTATTTTATTAAATTATATATGTTTTGTTTATTTGCATAAAACATAAGAAAAGATATGAGATACATTTTATCATATTTAAGACTATTTCAAAATATGGTGGTTCTTGAAAGTCCGATTTCACTAGAAAATATCGTCTACCCCCTTTTTTCAAAAGCTCAAATTAATGATAATTTACTATCTAGTGCTGGAATTAAAATGATTAATCAATTACCATAGAACTGTTCTTTGTATTAAACAAAGATTTAATGGCCAAATTGCCATTAATATTGAATTTAATGGGTGCAAAATGTAGGCAGTAATCAGAGTTAGAGTTCGTAGTTCTTTAAGAAATTGTAAGGCCATATTTACACATCTTTGTTAATCCATACTTAAAACAACCCGTGCAATGCTACCTCTTTTGAGGTCTGAATCTCCCTCTTTTTCATCACAGTATTAAGTTAATAGCCATTCTCTGTAAGCATTTAAGAGTCATTCTCTGTTAGCATCAAAATGGGCTGGAAATTGATTCTCATGGATTTTGCTGAAACTTGGTGAAATAATTACATTATAAGCCCTATTTACAAAAATATTATTAAAAGTGATCAATTGGTCTTGTTTCCATGGCAACTAGGTTACCTGTTTTTGCACATAGGTGATAAATACCTAAAATGATATTTCTTCCCATTAATGTACATTTAATCAAATAAAGGTGATTATTATTATTTTTCCAAATATTGTTAATTGTATTTTCTATACAAAAAAGATGAAAAATTTTTTTTGGACCTGCCGTTAAATGCCAAATAACATAAAAAATTGCTTTAAAAAAGGGGGGTTAAACATAACGATGTACATAAAAACGCAGGCACTGGTGGAATATTCTGATGCTCTGTCAATTTCACCTTATACATTTATGAAGAACATATGAAAAAACTGGAGAGGTAATATTTACTTTAAGGATTTCAATCCCTAATGGGACCAAATTCTCTACCCTTAAATGTCCGTCAAGTACACAATACTCTGATATTATATTAAAGCATTTTATAGTGGAAAAGGATTGCCCACGAGAAATTTTCAAAAAGTTCATTAATTAAGCAGTAGTCAATTAACAAAGATTGCATTGAAGTCTATGGGGAAAAGCGTTTTTTCAAAATAAAAATTCAAATAATTTGAATATCAATAAATCCTGTGGTGGAAAGATGCATTGAAATATTAAAAATAGAATGATAATTGAAAACAATTTTTTTACCAGCTAAATTTTTTTAAATGATTTTTTTTTATTAATTAAAAAAGGGGAGATAACTCTTACCAAAATCCAAGGTCATGAATTAGGACACATCCCACTAAACATACTTACATTAATAAATGGGAAGTATGTCTAAATAAACTTCAGTATTCAATGCCTACATATCTGTTATGTTTTCAATTTCATTGAATTTCTTCCCATTAGGGATTGAAGACCTTAAGAAAATAAATTGATTGTAAAGTTTGTAATAAAAATCTCTATATTTACACAGATTTTTGTGAAGAGTTACTTCCCCTTTCGGAAATCTTTTGCTTAAATCAATGAAAATGAAAGTGAAAGTACACAGCAGAAAATGACTTTAAGAAGTAAATACTGTCTGTTTTGGATATTTTCAGGGGTTTTAATCCAACTTGTGAAGTATTTAACAGGTGCGGATCCAGAAATTTTTTCCAGGGGGGTCCACCCCAGTCAAAAAAAAATCCAATCACAGAAATTTGTTGACAAGCAAAAAAAAAAAAAAAAAAAAACCTAAACTCCCCAAGCGTCAAAAACCTATTTCATGGGGGGGGGGGGGGGGGGGGGGGGGGGGGGGGGGGGGGACTTCCATTGCCTCAAATCTTTCACTTTTCATACCCATTTCACACATATTCGCATTTACCAGGGGGGGGGGGGGGGGGTCAGCGTTTTCCAGGGGGGGTCCATGGTAAATTTTTTGTTGTTTTAGTATATAAATTTTTTAACCTGGTAAATTCCAGGGGGGGTCCTGACCCCCCCCGACCCCCTGACCCCCCTCTAGATCCACGCATGTTTAACTTTACCCATAGTTAAACTGTTAAATGATTGATCAGGCTTTACTGTGTCTGAGAGATATACATGTTTGTGTGTAGATGTGATAAACTTAAAAATGGATTCCATCCTATGAAATTCCTGCTTTGTGACAACAAGTGCAGTATCATTCCAAAAAAAGTGTTTAAAAACAAAGTATCGTCAGTTAAATGGACTTCAAAGCTAAGAGTGGGATAATAAGGTTGTGATGAAGAAATATATATGGCAATAAGAAGATCACTAGGCAAGTACCAATGAAATATTTACCACGTACATTGAAAGTTGCACATATTTTGTATGAGTTCATTAATAAAAGGGCATGATTATTTATTGTAAAAATAACATTGAAGTACCCAAAGCATAAATAATGACATGATTCTAATTATATCAATATTAATAGTATAGGCATATTATCAATCTTATATAAAATCAGATGTTGATGAAAATTATATACCGGTAAACCATCTCAGCATCTGTCGATTTCCGTCCGTCCGTCTGTTATGCTTTGGGGTACCCATCTCTTATCCGCAACTCCTCTCATACCATGGAAGGAAATTTAATGAAACTTTCACAGATTCTTAATTACATATTGCCATTGTGCACCTCCTATTTTACTTTTTGATCTGACATGTATTTTTGATTTTCCAGAGCAAAACATGGACACTGCCATTATTTTCATATGGGGGGCGGGGGGTATCATTTAGTGAGCTCATTGCTCACAGTACCTCTAGTTTCTTTAATATATGATTATTTTATTGCAACAAAGAAAAAAATTATTTAATTATTAAGATTTCTTTGTCATAGCAAACACTGTCACAGTTGAATTTAAGCCAAATTTATAATACAATGTGTACACTTTACTGAAACAATATATAATGAAGGAATACATTAAAGATTTATAGGGAAATATGGCAATTTCCAGTGGAGAGGAGTTCCTTTTACGTACATGCAGTCAAATTGGGGAAATGTAAAATGGTCGTTGTTGAAATCATAGATTTATGTGCCCAAATTACAGCTGAGAAAGAAAGATATATTTGATTTTGTCACATTTTATGAGGACATCTCAGTATTCCATTTATCACAGACTTTATGTTCTGGAAAATATTTCTAAGAAGCTTTCCAAATAGTTTTAGATAAAAACTAGAGGTACTGTGAGCGATGAGCTCACTAAATGATACCCCCCGCCTCCCATATGGTTATAACTGGTGAAATAGTCCATCTTTTCCTGTGGCCGGGAAACCCAAAATATCTGTCTGATCAAAAAGTAAAATAAGAGGTGCACAATGGCAATATGTAATAAAGATTCTGTGAAAGTTTCATCAAATTTCATTCGGTGGTATGAGAGGAGTTGCGGATAAGAGATGGGTACCCCAAAGCGTAACAGACGGACGGACAGACGGACGGACGGACGGAAATACCGATTACTATGTACCCCCACTTTTCAAGCGGGGGGTATAATAACAAGCTAATTTAGAGAATTTGTGTCCCCCGCTTAAGGAAAAAGTAAACCATGCACAGTTCGGGGGAGGGGGGGATTGGATCCCCCTGACTGAATTTGTAGAATTATTAAATGTATACATTTATACTGAAGCAAGTAAAATATGCCAATATGGATATAAAGATTTGATTACTTATTCTTTATTACCACGGTATGTGTATAGAAGATTCTTTTTATATGGAATATTTATCACACTGTAATGATGATTTTATGAGTTTGTACAATCCAGACCTCATAAATATCTCATTTCACATGCTGAATACTATCACTTAGTAAAAAAAAAGTATTTCGAAAAAAAAGAAAATGGATCGTCCGGGTTTCGAACCCGGGACCTCTCACATGTAAAAATGAGAGACATACCACTACACCACG